GCTGCTACTACTACTACTACCACTACTAGCACTAGCACTAGCACTAGCACTAGCACTAGCACTAGCACTAGCACTAGCACTAGCACTAGCACTAGCACTAGCACTAGCACTAGCACTAGCACTACCACTACTACTACTACTACTACTACTACTACTACGACGGCGACGGACGACGACTACTGCGACGTCGACTACAATTACTGCTTCTACCACCACTACTGCTGTGTGCTCCCGCCAACATCCACCGGATGAAAAATCACCGATTCAAGCAGGTTTGCTACAATCTTGTTTTCAAGCCTAAGCAGGTCCAAACTGCTGCAGCAAGGCGCTGATCTCCAGGCAAACATGGAGTGTTGACATGTTGCAGACCACCCACTTACATGGCAAATCCTATGACCTGCAGACGTCCAAGAGGTCATGCGCTTTGGCAGGCGTTGAATGGTGAAGGGTGCACGGTGCTGCTCCTGGCCGTGCGAGCCGAGGCAACATCCCAATCGATGTTCTGCATGCGTCTTCTGTTCGATGATGTTCAAAGATACTGGACACCGCTTTCGCCAGCTCCCCCACACCTTGCCCACTTCATTTCAGCATCCATCAGCGTGGGCTGAGATGAATGTCAGGTTGATGCTCCTTTTTCGCTTCAAGTTGTGTCGAGCGTGCCTCCATGGAGCCCTGAGGGCTGGACCTGGACGCCTCCAAGAAAGCAAGCATAGCAAGCTGCACCAAAGCAGATTTGACTCTGTGAAAGCAGCTTATTCACCTGGGTCCCACCAGTCGCGCTTGCTGGACCGGCTGCTTGAACAGGTGCCAGTGCAAGTCTTCAATGTGCCTGGCTCGGACACCGCTTGCAACATGCCACTTGCAGCTCCTGGGTCCAGTTTTTGTGTCCTGGCCGTGCCCCGACACCCGATCAGATTTGACCAATCAGCTGAAGGAATCCATGACTCGAGCTCAGCCAAAGGTTCAAAGCAATGCGCCCACTAAGCACGATAATCTTGCCGAGCTAGTTCTTGACTCTCCAGGCTTCGCTTCATGGGTCTCACTTCACTAGTCAACTAGTCCGGATACATGTAATGTAAGGATGCCAGTGAGATGCGCTTTGGTCCCTAAACTATAGGCAGGTCCTGATCTGCAGCAGGAGTTTGGGCGGAGAGCGCATGTGTGCAAGATTTTGCACTCCGGCCGTGCTTGCGGGATGGAGACTGCCTGGACATGAGGCACACTTTCACTGGCCGCAAGGCGAATGCCTCGCATGTACAATGGTCTCTTTTTGCCGTGAAATGCGATCGCCCGAAGCTCCCCAGGTGAGCAATGGGTCAGGGCGTTTCTCTTGGAGAGGCTTCTCAAGAGTTCCTCGGACATTATTTCGGCTTTTGACTCTGTCGGGTCTCGGCGCAAAGTCAAACGCGGCCAGGTTGGAGCAGGCAACTGATCAGTCTGTCTCATCATATGGCCAAATGCAGTAAGGCGCTACTTCCTGCAGAAAGTCAAGCTCGGAGAAGGGTCCTTCGGGACAGTTTGGCGAGCTGTGGACAGGCAAGCGCACAACGGTGGTGCAATCGGACGTGCTATGCACCTCGTGCACTGATGCTGAAGTCGCGAGTCTGTGATCGCCGGGAGGTTCGTGTGTTTTCTCTTTCCCTGGCAGTATCATTTGCTGCCTGTGTCGATTTGAAACTCTCAGGACTAGGCCGACTAGGCCATCCTTCACTGGCACAAATATCATGTTGCCCACGCGGACGGATGTATTTATGATGTCCTGTGGGGGTAGTTCTTGCAGAGAAGTGCTTCTTGATAAGATGCTCGCTTCAATATACTCCTCTGTGCACGAGGGACGTCATGGGAGCTGCAAGAACTTCATGCTTTGGGATGTTGCCACCCGGCGCAGCCCAGCACGTGCTTAAAACTCGCTTGCGGAGGCAGGAAAACACCATCGTAGCCGTGAAGCAGCTCGACAAGGCAGGAGCTCGCCGTGCAAGTCTTCACAGGTTGCGGCACAATGCAAAGCCACTCTTGGCAGGCATTGCTGCCAAAGCGCGGCGTTCGCCGGCAAGATATTGAGCGAGAGGTGGCAGTGATGCGGGCAGCCTGGCTATACACTGTGCACGGGTGGTGGAATGCACGTTCCGCCAGGGAGCATCTTGTGTTCTTTCCATCTGCGGCTGTCTTGACGTGTCGAGTACTTGCAGTTGTTGTTTGTCGCTTTCTTTCTTTGTTCGATTGCTTGCCTGGCGTGCATCGTTTACCTGTCTGTTTGTCAATGTATCCGTCTGATTGTTTGTGTTTATGTCTGCCTGGCATGAATTCATGCACGCGTGCAGCCAGTTTCTGTTGCTTGCTTGTTAGCTGTTTGTTTGTTTGTGTGTTTGTTTCTTTGTGTGCTTGTCTGCGTATCCTACTTGAGATTGCGTGTTCGTGGTGTTGGGTCTGCTTGCGTGAGCGCGGACTCCTGAACACCTGACAAGTGCCCACTTGAGAAACAAGTACTCCGGGAGGCAAGTGCACAATTCAAAAAATGTGCTTCAGGGCAAGGGTCTCCACATCGGGAAACCGAAGGTAAACGAGCGACAGATCACCAAACCGGAAGTTCGTGATTTTCTTTCTGGGGGTTTCCAGGTAGAATGTGTTAGGTTCTGGGTTGAACTCGGTGTTGAGTAGGGTGTGGGATGGAGGGGTGTGTGATAGGTTCACTTCGCTGGGAGTTTGAGACACTCTAACCCGTGTGCTTCCTGAGCTCCATGCCTGAAATTCTTCAATTTTCATCTTCTTGTCAGTGTTGTTGGTGGTGGTGGTGGTGGCAGTCGTGTGGTGGTGGTGCTGCTGCTGCTGCTGCTGCTTGCTGGGCTGGTGCTGGTGGTGCTTTGTTCGTGTGCGTGTCTGCGTGTCTGTGTAGGTACTTACTTAAACCTTGTGTGTCAGGCCGTGTCCCATCCGAGCCAAGGCTGCATCAAAACAATCTAATCCTCTGACGGCAGGGTGGCAGCGTAGATATACTGGATGGTAATCCAAGAGTGCCTGCACAAGGAATGTTACAAAGCTGTTCGGCAGTTGGGAGGACGCTGCAAGCATCTTCTTGGCGTGCCTTTGACTGAGCAGATTTGGCCACTTCATGTCGCCAAATGAACACCATGGCGAGAGTCGAGCGACAAAGTGACAGTGAATCTAAGGCTGGAGTATTGTGCCATGGCAAAATTCTGGGAGCAAGCACCTGCGTGCGGAAAGCAATCAACCTCCCGTGTTAATGTGGCAACTACAGGTAATGGTGGCGACTTTGGAGACAAGGCTTCCCGAACGATTGAGCCCAATTCCGGTGTGTGAGTGTAGAATTCTACACTCAGAATTTCCAGGTGAAAGAGAAGGGAATGGAACTTGAGGAAAGCACAGCTGCCGAATGGATGCTGCTGAGCTTTGACAGTTTGGTCAAGGGGCGCAGAGATACTCGGCCCGTACGCTTCCGCCTCCATGTGCGAATGAATGCGCTGCTTATGTAGGCTTGTCGGGTGGTAGTGTGGCAGGGACATTGCGGCAAGGTTCCAAATCGTCTCAGCCATTGGAGTCTTGCATAGCAAGAGTATCTGCCATAGAGATATCAAGCCGGACAACTTCATGGTGCATGACGAGGCCAGGAGGATTTCAGACCAGACCGATGATTTCAGGATAGAGAAAACCTTCGGTGGTCGCTGCTTTCCAAGCGTTGCAGCGCCAGGTCTTGAAGTTGTCAGATTTTGGCTTGGCAGTTCACCTTCCTTTTGGCCAGAAGCTGACCGAGAAATGCGGCACTCCTGCGTTCATGTGTCTTGCCTTCGCATGTCATGGGCCTGGCATTTTATTCTAGCAGGGCCCCATGAAAGGAGAGACAGTACGACCACTGCGTGGGAGCCCCATTCCCCAGGTCACCGGAGCAACACCACCTGCCGAGAGGAAGCAGGGGCCACTTTCACAGCAATTGCGGTCTGAGATATGGTCGGAGGAGGCGAGAGACGGTGGCGATGTCTCACACAGATCGCTCCTGTTCGGCTAAAATCGGTAAAAGGCTTCGAAGGTGACCTTTGCGATAGTAGCCAACGGTATGGTGATCCTGTGTAACGAGCCGGGTTCGAGCACCAGGATCAGTCAAAGACCCGTGCTCTTGTTGTCTTTTCTTCCAGCGCTTTGGATCCTCGGATGGGGCTGACTCTCTGTGCGGGCACTAGAATAGTCACTCGTTGATTGGTCCAATTCTCGCCGCAGAAGTTAAAGCTGCTTTTTCGGAAGTCGTCGCAGCACCGTTCTCCGGACGCTGATCCAACGTGAGAATAGTTAAACAATTCGAAAACATTTCTGCGCTGCGAGCAGCACTTCAGACCAGCCCGAAGGATCCGCACCAAGCATGCATTAAGCACAGTAGCTTGCGTGCCATCTGAGGTTACAGTCATTCTTGCGACGTTTGGGCCGCCGGAATCACCATGAAGCTCGGCGATTGGTTAGGTGTTGTGGAGGTGCTTTTACACATCAGTGCGGCAGTACAAAGGTACATGGTCATGTTCGCTGGCAAACATCCCTTCTTGCTGGCCAGCCACTTTTCTGAGATGTCACTGCTACTGATTGCTAGCAACGCCCATTTTCGTTTTGGACGCTGTAAGTTCGAAGTGCAGTACTAGAACTGGCATCGAAGCAAGATTGTAGGCAGCATGGGCAGCCTGTCGTGACCATACAGTGGTTTGCAAGCCCAACACAAGACCCCTCGACAAACGGCGGACAGCCGGCAGCAGGTGGGAACAAAGCCTTAGTCATTCATGTCATGGAGCCTGCCGCAGCAACATTGTTGTTTGGGGAGGAAGAGTGAGCGGTGTGAAAGCATTGAATCTCCGATCGTTGGTCCATTTCTCGGCCGTTCATCCCCGCACTTCAACCTTGAAGGAGAAACGGAGGTCACAACTTCATGCATCATTTTGGATGTCTCTTACTTATCAAGCACAGCCTCAGCATACTGTGGCGGTTTCTGTGTTCATGCGTCTGTTCTGTCACCGTCAAGCATCTGATTGACCGCAAGTCCTGCGGAGCGAAAAGCTTAGGCCAGCAGCTGGATGAACAGGCCTTGCTTGCGGGCCAGCTGGATTTCAGTGTTGGCAGCAGCTTCTTTGGCTTTGCCATGTTGCTTGCCTGGCACAGATGCTGCAAGTGAATGGGCTTGTGACAGCTTGCTGGGGGCTTCACCGGCAGACACGTCCTCGTGCGCCTCATAAGGACTGACCGCTTCTCGGAATCCGCACGGTTCTTTTGCAGACAGAGGCTGAAGCTGAATTGGTGAGTGGGGAACATGTACAGTTGAAACACTGTAGTAGACATGTTGAGCCACGAACACACGTACAGGACGTTTGCACGCTAGCACATGGGAGAAGGAAATATGGATGAAATACGAGAATCGAGAAGAGTTCGTGTGTCTGGTTGGCTCTGTGATAGAGCAGACGCCATGCAGGCATGCTATCTATTCAGTTTGTAGATTCAGAAGTCCAGAACCGAAAAATGTTTCGCAGCTGTTTACTAGATGTCAAGTTTGTAGATCAGCCGAGGATGGTTACTCCTGACATGAGCAAACGGATTTCAGCTGCTGCCGCGTGCCACAGCGAGTGGTTCCGGGACGGGGGGGCCGTAAACAATTGAATAGATAGATCTTAAAAAAGGGTTCCTGTGTCAGAACAGCTCCCGGCTCCTCCTGCACACACAGGAGCAAGCTGTCGGAAAGTTTCGACATCCCCAGGACCTGGGTGGGGGAAAGGGCGTCAAGATTTCGGGCGAGACCTTGTGTCGTGCCTTGCAGTTTGCACCTGATTGCCACGCGTGAGCCTTGCTATTTTACAGCTGTTGGAGGAAGCTGATCCAGTACCAAAGGAAGGAAGCCCTGTCATTTGCAGCTGGACAGATCAGAAAATTTCGGATTTGCTGGTTAGGCTCCGACTCCGATAACTCTAATTACACGGCGTCAGGCCCGAGGGCAGGGTGGTGATGTGGTCAGTGTCTGTCAGTGTCATGCAGCGGCGCAGCTAGGGCCGAACGAGTCATGTCAGCCATCGGATAGCCAAGCGACTGCATCCTTGGAGGTAAGCCACCTGCAAGCCCAGGAATTGCCAGGCGCACGGCAATTTAGTCTGCATGGCTCTGGCCGACCAGGGCATGCAATGACATTGACGTGGTCTTGCAAAGACCGGATGTCATGCCATGCCCCTTGCATGTATCATTTAATCACATGCTATCATGCGTCAGATATACTCCATCACTGTCTCGCTCTCTCTGGACCTGTTTCTGTCGCTCTTGCCTGCTGCGCTCTGGATGTCTAGTCTAGGCTCACCTCGCCTTGCTGCTTCTCGGTGAGCAACCTTTTCTCAATAGCCTGTGTCCTGTGTTCCAGGGTGCAATCGAATGTGACCGTCGATGGGGGAAAGGACAAGGAGGAGCAGCTGTAGTAGTGGTCGGCAACAGCCAGTTCCCAAAGAAGGCATTTGTTGGCAGCTGGATCACTGTCGTGCAGCGTGTCGTTTCTCAGGAGTCCATTCAGCGCTGGTGGCCATTCAGTGCGGAAACACCTTCGCAACCGTCCCGCGGATGAACTAGTAACTACCTACACGGGCTGCGATGATTTTGCGAGCACTGCCACAGGCATGTGTCTTTGGTCACGGATGTTGAGCCAACAGGCTTATCGGGGCAATGTGCTAGTCAAGACGAAGGCGAAGGTCCTCAGTGTGAGCTGCTGTTGAGGTCGAAGCCGAAGCCGGAGCCGCTGGAGGACGAGCATTTGGAGAAGCAAGAACTGCAGCAGGAATTGCTGCAGCACCGGCGAGCGCTGCAGGGACGGATGGGCTCTCCTCGAACTTCGCAGTCCGACGACGAGCTTCGGAAGCGGAGCCTCGGCTAAAAGACCACCAAAGATATGACTGGCATGCAGTATCATGGAGCGACTGCGATTTCTTTGTGCATTCTTGCCATGCAGGATGTGCGCTCGCGCAAACGATAATCATGCATCTCAGTCTCATCTCGCTAAGGATTGAAGGGTTGGAGGAGCAGTTGAGGTCGGGAATTGAAAGTCTGCGTTCTCCGCTTCCCCCGTTCCCACGTGCAGGCAACACGAGGAGCAGAGCCGCCTGCGGGAGGAGCAGAATCGCTTGCAGAAGGAGCAGAACGAGTCCCAGTGGGAAATGCTGGTGCAGCGACTTAGCACGACTATGTTTGTCATCATCACTTAGGTCCTTAGGTGGGTGGGCATTGAGTGGGCGATGATGAGGGCCTCGGACATGCTTGACCCCTCGCAGCGATGCGACCGAATCCGCGTAGATGTCAAAACAGTGCAAGAGCACCATGGCGACCATGACGACCGCCACCACTAGGACCACCAGGACCACACGACAATCACCTCACAACCAGGAGACCACTAGGAAACCCGAGGACACCACCAGGACACGCCAAAATGCTTGCTGCCAAGCACTTCAGCAGGACGGCCAAGATGCTCCCATATACTTCCCCCAGAGTACTAGCAGAATTCGGGAGCACGGCCAATTCACCAAGATACTTTCCTCCAAGTACTGGTGCGACGTGGCGCGATTCAGGAGGACGCGCAGACTGCCTTGCTTGAAGTACTGTCAATGTATTGCAAGTTTGATATATCTGGCTCTCCGGGAGACGGCATGCGAGTGCAAAATAATTATGCACTGTGCCACAGCGGGAGATAGCGAGCAACGTTTTTCCGCGGCTCCCCCTCAGCACTAACATGCACTAACACTAACCGATTCTTTACACTTAACGTCGGTTTCGCCGTTAGAACTCCATACGGAAGCCAGTGCGTTTCTTGTTTGTTATCCTAGCAAGCACATGCAAGCACTCAGGATGCAGCAGTTTATCAAAGACAAGAAGATGACGCAGGACTTGGAGGCCACTTGTTGACGCAGTTGCCACTGGCATTTTGGACGTTTGCTGTGTGACTCTGGCCTCAAACTAGCTCGGGAAAGTCTTCACAAACAGACCGAACGGCGTCCTGTTTGTGCGTGGATGAGACTGGATATGACTGGATGAGCGCCCAAAGCTGTTGTCGCCACCCTGGACTCTGCACAGAAGGGCGGCAGCAGGGTGGGCAGTGAATTGTGTTTCTCGAAGAGTGGGTGAAGCTTGTAGCATGTCGTGGCAGTATTATAGCACTATTATTACAGTTGACGCAACGTGTCGAGGTGGTGGTCGTCATGGTAGGCGAAAAGTAGAATACTGAGTGAGGCAACTATGGCCGGCAAGACGACGCCACCTGAGCCAGTGCAACCTGCTTCGCAGGCTGGCGAAGGAGCTGATTCGGGATGTTCGCATGAGGAGGTGTGTAGCAAAACCTGTGCAAAACGGTTTGAATTCACCTGCGCTGCGCAGCTCTCGTGAAGAGGTGACTGGGGAGACAAGTCCCACTGGGCAGCCAACTTCCAGTCGGAGCTACTCCCGCAGGCGTCCACGCTCCGCTGCTCCGCTTGCGGACGAACTCAAACAGAAACAGAGGGAGTCAGAGGGAGCTTGTGAAAAGAGTCATAATTAAAGAGTCAGTAGGCCCGATGTTGACAGCATACAGGCCTGAACAATTGGAGTGCTAGGAATGATGGCTCACTTGATGCTGCGCCGTATGACTGTGAACCTCAACCAGCTCCGAAAACTCGCAAATATAGCTTCGGTCCTGCTGGGGCACCAGGACGGTGAGCGCCACGGCAGCTCCACCTGAGATGCAGCAGATCCCGGCTGTGCAGACTTTGAGGGCAGGCATGCGCAGCTTGTTGGCAGATGAGAGATGATGAGCTCGTGCTTTTCGAGTCGGCTTCAGTGCCATATTCACATCACCAGAATGTTTCTCTTGGCGACATCAGGATGCCGGTATTACTCATCCACGTACGGCAGATGGATCAGCGCGAAAGTCGAGAAGTACCATCCCAATGGGACGCCATGTCCTCATTTGCACTGGCGGGCCACCCTGAGGACTGCATGGTAGGCTCACTGCACGTATGGCCAGCATGGCCGCTGCATTGCAAGTGGGCCTTCGACGAGTGTAAGGTTTGACCTGGATGTGAAGCAACATGCTTCCATCGATTACATCTCGCCACTCCCAGATGTCGCAGAAGCAGAGGCACGCAGCCGGCAATGCTGAGAGACAAGAAACTTCTCTGCGGTGCAGACTGCAGACACCTCTAGAGACCGTTGGATTCGTTTAGTTACTGAAGCTGTGGATTCGGCATTCGGCATGATTTGGCCCGAAGCATGTGCGATGGGTCTTTTTCTTTTGATTGTTCGGTGAAGCGCCGCTGATGTTTTACTACGTGTACATGGTGGCGCGCGTACCTGTTTCGGAGTGGTCCTCATGGAAGAACCAAGCCGAGTGGATGGAGTCATGCCGCGGGTGCCGGCGCGTCTCATGTCCATACCTTCTTATCGGGGTATTCGGTGCACTGCTGCCCCTCAATACTTTCACATCTCTCACTTCCGATAGAATATTGAACCAAGTTGGGGTTGCTTGACGTCCTTCGGCCGCAAGGGGGGCGGGGGGCTTGTGGGGGACCACTCGGACTCCTTGGAGCAGAGGACAATCAACTGCAGAGCACGGTCTTGCCAGATTTAAGTCGCTGTGCGAAGGAGGCTTTCGGCGGCGATGCTGTGTTCGACTAAAGCATACTACAGCGTACTGGTGCATGATTTCCTCTGTCGGATCAGGCCTGGCCACCTGGTACGAGCGTGAGCTACAACAGTACCTCCGCCAAGCGGTGGATTCCCGCTGTTGTCCAATCGCCGGGCGCTCAGGAAGCCTTGCCTTCCCCGCTGCGATTCAGCGCAGACCTTCAGTGAATTTCACGATGCCATGCGGCGCCCTTGAAGCATGCAGATGTGCTCTCGCATCGAGTATGTGAAAATCTACGAGATTCCATGGGTGTTGCATGTTGCAGCTGTTGTATGCCTTTTAGCTGTGCGTTCTAGTGTCATGTAGTGTCTACTGGCCGGGAGCCCAAGCAAATCAACCCGAGTCATTTTGAAGCTCCAGGTAAAAGCACCGACGTGGTCCCTCTCTCACTCATGCGTTGGTGATTGGTGGCACTCTCCCTGTCTCTGTTTCTTCTATTGGTCGGTCTTTTCCCTCGCTCACACTGGGCTCACTATCTCACTGTTAATCTTTCTTCATTTTCTACTGTTCTTTGACAACAAGATGCGGACTTCCTGCCAGCTTGAACCGCATTCTGAAGTTGTCATGCCTGCACGGGCAATACAAGAAGCGATTTGTCGGAGGATTGCGGAGGGACCACACAACTGCCTCAAGTATGCTATATGTTGGCTACATTGCATGCGAGTCAAGCCATGCAAACCCTCAGCCTCAAGAGCCTTGAACCCTTACAACACCTTGCAACTGTCGATGGCCGTTCTCTCAGGTTCAATGCCAGTGGTGCGAATGCAGCTTGGTTTCCGGTAAGGTGGAGGCACAGGTCAGATGTGCATCTGTATCGCGTTTGCATCCATCGGACGTGGCAAGTACTCCATTGCGGGTGAGGTGCTGAAGACCCGGTATGCTGTTCGTGCATGTGCGCATCTAAGGCTGGCACATACAATTTAGATGTGAGGCCCTGCGCAGACTGTGACCGGATCAAGCCAAAGTTATTAAAACATGAGGCCATGCCTGTTTAATCCAGCTTAGCTAGGTGCACTGGTGAGTGCCCATGCCGGAACTGCAGCACTCAATATATTTGGTAGTTGAGATGGAATGAAGCGGTCGGCTGTTCGACACGAAGCACGCCCTTTTCAAGCTCGCAGTGTGGACACGAACCATTGTCGAACGTTGTTTCACCTGCAGCACCCAGTGCTGTGCCAACGCCGTCAGAGGCCTCCGGCACATCGCCTGGAGCCTTGAAAAAGGTGCGTCGCGGTGCCGCGATTTCATTTGCTGTCTAGCACCAATCGTTTCAACATTTTCGCCTAGGTGCTACTGGAGCACGGGGCCTGTCCTGATGCTGCTGGCCGTGAGGGTGTCGGCACCTCGAGGCCAGCCTCCGGAGATGGGGCTTGTGAGTTTCACTGTCCAGGTCACCCCCTTGGAGCTGATCCTGCGAAAGCAGCGCGAAGACAGCGCAGACGGCGAGTGGCTGAGGCGGATTGTCAATGTGAAGATTTAGAGCGAGGTGCTCGGACACTAGTGCAACACGATGCCCTGCCGACGTTCAGAGACTAGTTTTGGGATGAGACGTTCTGCCCTGTCAGGCAGTCCGCCGAGGCCAGAAGAGCACGTGGTTGATTCATAGCTAATCTTACGTCTTGTGGACGTCGTATCCGCTTCGATGTCAAAGGCCTTGCGACAACACAAGGCGAAGCTGGAAGCATCGCAGGCCGGATGCACCGTGAGCTTCGGGGCTGTCTCTCCGGTCGTGCTACTTGTACACACGCATTCCTCGCAGGAGGAGCACGCAGCTCGTGTCATTGATCTGTGCTGACCTGAATCGACGACGTGATTCATGCGCCGAAGCAGGGAATAGCAATGAATAGCAGGGATGGTAGGGAGGGACAGATTCAAGAGTCAAGAGTGCATCTTCACCGTTTCTTGACGAGCCAGCAGTTAGTACTGCCGGAAGGCGACGGTTGCGTCGCAGTTCAGGCAGAAAACATATGGAGTGAAGATGGTGCCGGCCTTATCCACAAGTCGAATCAGCATAGTACTTCTGAATGTTTTGGAACGACCTGCTTCACAGTCTATGTTGCGGAGTCGATGCGCTCGAAACGGGCGTGCATCCTGCGAAGCAACGGCTTCATTCCCACAGTTTACCTCTTGAACAGCAAGTTCCGATGGCCTCCAAACCGCTCGGAAGACAGAGCATTTCCCAAAGCACGTAGTGGCAAGCACAGGAACCGCTCCAGGTTTTAACTATCCAATGCGGTACACGGTGCCAAAGATCTGACTCACGATGGCATGTCCAGGTCAGTGCCTTGCTTACTCTTGCTTCGCCCCTGTCGCTGCCTGCGGAGATTTTGGAGGTGGGACAATGTGGGACATGATTTGCACGCTGCTCTTGAATGTTCGGCATGTCAAAACAAGCGTCATGTGCCACATCGCTGACGAGGGCATAGCATCGTTCAAGAGGCATACTTTCTTGAGTGCTGCTTGTCATTTCGAGGTGCTTCACCTCCTCTTCCGGGAGCTTCCCCTGGAGGTCGCAAATGCACGAGCTACTGTAGTGAGGTAGTGCATAGCAAGGCCGGTTGCAAACATGCGGGTCGACCGCTCGCCGAGCATGTCAGGAGCGCTAGACTTTGCTATAACCTGCTAGAGTAGAGTGCTAGAATCAAGTCTAGGATGAAGCTGCCCTTTTTCTGGAGCTCCTGACGTTGGAACAAGGGCCGCAGGACGGAATGAAGGGTGAGCCGTTGCACTCTGTGGGCCATCATGGACCATCAACACCTCCTTTCTGTTTGTGCTCGGGCCCTTCACTTCCCAGCGCACACACAAATGAGCAGAGATCTCAACTCGTCTCAGCACTGCCCCCTACAGCTGCTTCGGGGATAATGCTTATTTGGCTGTATGTGTAGTGATGGTTCAATTCTGGACCTTGAAGAACACACAATGCTGGGGCTGGGTACCTGGAAGTTAAGTTCGCCTTGATCTTATCCTGTGCTACACTGGCCAACTCGGGTGATCAAAAGCGTCGACTGAAGTCGGCTTCCATCTCAATGGCTTCCAGGCTTGTCTTGTCTTGTGGGGGTTATAGCACGGGTTCAATCATTATCTGGCACCTCGTCTTCGAGTATGAAGCCAAACCTACCGGCCAACCATCACGGGAGACGATCTTACTGACCAAAAGGAAAACGACTCTGAGTCGGTGAGTGGCTGGAAGCAATTTGCAGGCAAGCTGTAGAACCACGAAGCACCAGATGGTTCCGAGAATGAGCCGACAACTTGCTCTTGTCTGCTCCGCTTGCCACCACAAGAGTTGCTGATCAGCATGCTCATGCGATGCTGCCATGCCACCGTTGCAGGTGGTGAGGGAAGCACTGGAGCCACAGGCAGTGAGCCCGTGCACATGCATCCTAGCTTTAGCACTTCACCTTTCCGTGGACGTCCACGTTCTTGGGTCGGTTCTTTCCTGCTTGCATCACATGCTGGAGTGCTGTCCAACGTTGTTCACCCGTCGCGCTGAGTTCACTTTGACATGTGGCAAGCACTCAGGAGCATCTGATTCGGCCTAGGGCTAGCTCACACGGGTACAGGTGCACGTTTTGATTGCAGTTTTACATGGAAGGCATTCTGCGCCTTGACAACGCTGCTGCAGCATGTGGCCGGACACTTTGGACCGAGGAAGTGCTTCTGCTTCAGTAGCGCCAGTGTGGAGTCTAGCTCTCACGGCTCTACGACTCTACACCGTGAAAAGCTATATGGCACACTATGTGGGAACTGTGTGGTGAATACAGTGGCGAGGCTTACGTCGTAATGTGGGCATCAACACCCACGAGCGAGTTTCTCCAAATTGTGTGTGTTGCTCCTAGGGCTCCTGCTTTTAAGTACAGCATATGCGAAAATGTCGCCTAGAGATCTGGCTCACGCCATGAAGACGGACTTCCGGCCCCACAGACACGACTGTTGGAATGGCGGCTTTTGCCAGCTTACGATCAGGGCTATAAAGGTTTAGTAGAGGGACTTCTGCCGGCATACTGATATCCACTCTCTGTCGTGTTGTTTTCGGAATTTCGCCCGAATAAGCAAGAAGCTGAGCTGAGGGTATGGGTTGTGGGTCTGGTCTGTTCATGCCGCATTCTTCGGAGGCTCAAGTCTTGGCAGGCATGAGAGAGATGTCTTCGTGTTTGAAAGGGCCCGTGTAGCCATGGTCGGAAGGCAGGTCATGCGAACCTGGTGATACATTTTGTGCAGTGGCTTCTCATCTGCTTGACAGGATACGCGACCCTTCCACTGGAGCCGTTCTGAGAGCATCTGGCAAGAAAGACAGCCGAAACGAAGACCGAGATGCGCCCCGTGGTCTCGAACAGGCATGCCACCTGTTCATTGCTGTTCGTTCTTCATTTTCAGGAGTTTGCGCTGTCCTTGTTCAAGCCGAGGAATCCGCTGAATGATGCCATTCCCGGCGAAGTTGTCCGACGCAACGAATCTTGGCCAAAGCCATATCGTTCGTCAGTAGCAGTCAATAGCACAGGCAAGCATCAACCCAGTGATATTGAAGCCTGCCACAACTAAGGAAAAAGTTCATAAATCAGGACCCAGTGCGAAAGCTCTGGCAGAAACAGACTTGCAAGCTGTTCTGGCAAAAGGCTCCGGCACTCGAGAAAAGAACTTCGGCAGCAATTGCAGCTGTGAATGACTACGCCATGTGGATTCGTACAAGTGCGACCGATGGACGGGTCCGGCAGATGCAGAAATGGCAAATCGACCCTGGTCATATGAAGTGTTCGTCCCTTCTGCTTTGCGAGTTGCGATACGATGATGTTGTCGGAGGGAAGCCGCCTTCTGCTCCCCACCATGCATTTGCCATCCCGTCTCTGGTGTGCAGAAATCTCAGACAGTGTTCTCATCCATCGTCAAAATTCCCGGCTGCCGAAAGGCCAAACCCGCCACCCAAGATTGAACACTCAGACCCTTCACAAATCAACACGTCTGCACCCCCCTTTTCTCCACCGGCCAAGCCCACCACACCCACGCCCTTAGTCGAGTCAGTTTATGCATGAAGTATGGCAACAGGAATCTCCCAACATTCTGTTTTCACTGTTCGGGCTGCTTTGGGTCTTTACATGCCCGCAGCCTTCGAGAATTCAGCCGTGGCCTGCGCCACCGACCACCGGATCATCGGCATGCGTCGGCACTAAACTTTAAGATCCGGCTGCATCTGTGAACGCTTCACGGCCTGGACCTGAAGGTGGCTGAAGAAGGCCTTGCAGCAGGTGCAGGAGGGGGACCTGTCGGCTGCAGATGTCTACAACATCCTCAAGGCCACGCCTGGCCGCGGCCGCGCAGCTACCCGAAGAGCGCTCCCCCCCTCTCCGGAGATTGTGATCGTGCATGCGGCTTGTTGTGTGCAGGTGCCAGACTTCGCCTCAGACCTGAAAGATAAGACAGGGAAGAGCATGCCCCATGGCAGAAGTCAGAGAAATTCCGCCTCTGTTCTAACCGACTTATTCTTCATCCATGGGGCGGTGCTTTGTTGTTTGCATGCATCTGCCGGTGAGTGTTCGAATCCTTCTTCCAGTCAAGGTACAAGTTTCTCATGTCTCGGATATCCGTGTTCTCAAAGGGGCCTGCTCGATGCAAGATGGAGTTGCTTGTGCAAGTCTTGCTTTGCGGCCTTTTGCCACCCGCCACCCTCGGCTTCTTGAGAATTCTCGTGTGTTGGCTTGAGGCAACAGCGATTCCTGCAAAAGGAATGCTCTTTGGCTCAGCAATTCGGCGGAGAAGGCTTTCCGCCTGCTTCCAACCGAAGAAGCTGCTCTCGGAGACAACAGGCTTTTGGAGACACGCCTTACGGTTAAAGCTCTGCCAGGAGGTCAGGCCATGGGCAGTGACGAAGTCAAAATGCCCAATTCGGCCGAGCCAAACCCAGAGGCTGCGGAGCAGATGATGGCTTCTTGGCTGATTCTATTGTCAATAATGTAACCCGATTTCATCCTTCTGTATCACTCATTGTTTGCATTCGGTGCTGGTGCTGCTTGCAGCCGAAAGCCAGCAAAATTGTTCTGGTCAGCGCTTCTTCGATGGTCACCTAGTGAGGCACGCGTGCGAGAATTCGTGCGGCAACAGCAGGGAGTGGAACTTGCTGCTTGGCAAGCTGTGTTCTCAAAGCAAGCCAAAAACGCCAGGGCCTGGCAAGACAACAGCCTGGGGTTTAGGCAGAGTGTCCATGTCGGAACGCTTGAAAACCGGTGCAAGACCCCAGCCTGATGCTTCCAAGGACCAGGCAGTATCTGCCGTTCCGGAGCCTTTCGCGCCACCTGACGCCAACACTTGAGTTCAGGGGTGTAGTAAGGAGACACAGATACACCCGAGCAATTTATCAGAATTCAAGATTCGAGACAGATGCCGAAGTCTGTCTCGGGTTCTTTCCGTGTTGCGGGCGGGGAAGGTTTACACAGATGATCATGGATAGCTCTTGGCCGGGTGTCACGGATGCTTGTCACGGCTGTTGATACTGCTTTGTGTTGCCAGGCCGCCATCCCTTCCCAGGCAGGATACATCTGCAGTGGCGAGCATGATCGCCAGGACCCGGGCTTTCGGGTGGAAGATTTCATCTGTCGTTCTATTCCGCCTTACTCCCAAAGCTCCACTGTTCTGACCCGTGATGTCTCTTGGATCAACAACTTGCGTTCATGTATCCGCCCGTGTGCAAGGCCTCTTTGCTACTGCAGGGGTTCGGGAATGTACCGGAAGAGCCTTGTGCATGTTTTGACAAGTTCGCAGCTGTTGTTTCTCATTGTACTGAGTGGTCACATTCAAAATCTGCAGGGCGGCTTCGACAGCGGTGCCTCAGCTTGAAACTTGAAACACTCTTGAGTTAGCTCATGTTTCCAGAGTTCAGCCAGCTTCAGATCATTTGTCAGGTGAGCTACCAGGCGGCCAGGGCGGCCTGGCCGAACGAAGTGAGCGAGATGGCCCCGGACGCGCCCACGCAGGTGATGCAGACCTGAAGCCAAGCTGCTCCGCATGTGAAGGGTGCTTGTAGGCGCATTGAACTGCTATTTGCTCTGTAGGAAAAGGCGCGGAACGAAAGCGAAGCTTCAAGTCCATCTCGAAAAGTCAAGAAGCGACTCGGACTCAAAAAGAACTTGCGCAAATCAAAAGGCGAAGCGACCCCGTGAGCCGAGGAGTAAACGTCCTTCCTCCAGCTCTCAAAGCTCGAGGCGTCGCCGAAAGGAATCGCGCTCGCGCTCCAGGCGACCTCAGCCCCAGCATGAGTAGTGTTGATTGCGGTTGGGGTTCTCGATCCTTCCGACTTGGAGGGGCGAATGGAAGAGTTCCAAGGTTTCAGCCCTATGCCTCCGTGTCTCCAAACCGTGCGGTTTTAAGGGTGGGGGGCTCTTGCTTTTCGTTCTGTGGCGTCACTCCGGTTCCTTTCCCCCGAAGTTTGCGTCAGAGTGTCCAAATCGTTTCCGGGCATCAGGCCTCAGTAGGCTGAGCTCATTGGATGGAACGGAAGCCTTTGCTGTGGTCCACTGTTATTTTTCGGAATTACCCTGTAATGCGGGCTCGTCCTTGCTAAGTTGCTACAAGTGGTCGCTTTATCTCGCATCGCTGGGTTGAAATACGCATCGATGAGCGTCCACACTCGGGAATCCGCTTTCAAACAATCACCTCTATTTGTGAACGATCGGATGGTTCCACGTGGAAGCGAGCATCTAGATGGGGAATGGCTGGTTTTGATGTGCTGTCATGCCACTGATGTGCGTCTCGTGTATTCTCGCCGCTGATGTGTAATTCCTTGAAACAGCGTCCACACTGGCGTGATGTGTATTCTCGCCGACTGATGTGAGATACACCCGACGCGTGTAGGTAGGAGGGTAAACACCCAAGGACCTCAACAGCTTTTAAGACGGGAAACCCTCATTGTCATTGTCTCTGCTGCTACGAGGCTTGGCGGTTGCGGCGTGAAGGTTAACAGTGAATTAAGGTCCGTCTACAAGCATCGCTCCGACGTAAGATCCCCCAAGTTCAGAAGACGCATCCCGGAGAGTCGCATGAGGACACACATGAACCAGAGCACAAACAGGCACCCAACAACCCAGGACACAGGAGTCCGGCCGCATGAACCAGAGCACAAACAGGCACTCAACAACCCAGGACACAGGAGTCCGACCGCATGAAGCAGAGCACAAACAGGCAACCAACAACCCAGGACACAGGAGTCCGACCGCATGAACCAGAGCACAAACAGGCAACCAACAACCCAGGACACAGGAGTCCGACCATGAACCAGAGCACAAACAAGTCAGGGCAACAAGCTGGACCTGCAATAGATACGTGTGGTCGACAAGGAACAGAACACCCTAGCTCGAGTCACAGGGTCCCGGCATGTCCCGGCACCAAGCAGCAGGCCTTTGTTTACGTTGCTGCACGGTATGAACTCAGGGAGAGACATCAAAAAAAACTAAATAGGCATAAAAAAACCACGTGGGTATCCCGAGAGACTGACAGAAAGCCAGAAAGAAAGAAACAGCAGAACGACAGAAAGAAAGAAGGAAACAAAGACAGAAAGAAAGAAAGACAGAAAGAAAGAACGCATGAAAGAGAAAGAAATAAAGAAACCAAGACAGAAAGACAGAAAGAAAGCAAGAAAGAAAGAAGGAAGAAAGCAAGACACAAAGAAAGAA